TAGTAGATAGTACTATGCAGCAGTCACTGGAGATAGAGTGAGACATATTAGTTATTTTGGTTATATATTACAAAGAGTATTAACAGTGATGACAAATATTTATGTAGTACTTCCTAAACACTTCATCAGAATTAACCCATTTAATCTTCATGATAAATGTATGAAATCGGTTTCCATTTAATAGGTGAGGATACTGAAGTATAAAGAAATTAACTTATCCTCAGTCACAGTCAGTGGTAAGGTCTGGATTTGAACCTCAGTATTCTGGCTCCAGAGTTCCTCTTACCCACTACTCTGTTCCTTTACTCACATAGGAAAATATCAGTATGATGGGGAATATGGGATGCTATAGAAGTATATAACAGAGTGTGTCGAACCTAGGGCAACCAAGAGAGGAAACACCTAAACTGAACTCTGAAAGAAGGTGCAGGTTTTAAAAGCTGCTAACTAAGGGCTACGAAAGAACCTTCAAGAACCTGAAAGTATTTGAGTGTGGTTGAATCTTTGACCTCAGTCGTGTGAAGCAGGAAAAATAGGCTGTCATAAAGGCTTCATAAGTCATAAAGGCTTCATAAGTCAAATTAAGGAAGAATAATATTTCTATATATCAAACAGACCTTAGATCAAATCCCAGTTCTGCTACTTTCTATTTAATTCTAAGCAGGTCACCTTATCTTTTTGAGCTTCTGTTTTCTCTCTAGAAAGGGACTAAGAATGCCTTCTTTTGAGATTTTTTCATCCGCTCAATAAATATTTATTGTCTTTTATGTCTGGGTCACATTCTCAATGCTGAAATTACAGTGGCAAAACAGACAAAAATGGTGCCTTTGCTGTCCTAGAGTTTACATTTCAGGGGTTGTTTTAAGGTTTAAATGAGATAACATCCCATAGTGCCTGTTCTATAATGCACATTCAGAAAATGTCATTATCTTAGCCAAGGTTTGTCTGGGTTCTCTGATTAAAAGTATATACTTCATGGATTTCAAGTGTTGAGTGACTTGTCACTAAGAAGGAAGAAGTAGCCAGATTATTTGGGACTCAGTGTTTTCTTTCAAAAGAGTGTGTCAAGGAATTAGAATTTTCTTGTTTATTTTGACAATTCTCTAAAGCCTTGAAGAATTTCTGCTGTTTCTAGAAATCTGTTTCAGTAGTTCTATGGAATTACAAAAGATGATTTACCTCAAAGGAATTTATGGTTAATTGTAGGAATAGAATGACACATCTGAAAGAAACACAAGGAAAAAAACCTCTGGGGAAGATAAAAGCAAACAAAAATAATCCACAGAACAAACACAGAAAACAAAGGAAATACAAAGAAAGCATAAAATGAAATGATAAAAGCAAGAACAACTAGTAGGTAAACATATTTGGTTTGTAATTTCTTATTAAAAGACAAAAATTATATTTAAAAATTTAACATGTGTTATTTATAAGACATCACATCAAAATCAAACAATATAGAATAAAAATAAATGGAGTGACAAACATTTCTCAAGTGAAAGCAATAGTGATAGTATTAACTTCAGATAAAACAAAAAAGTAATGGTATACAGAATAAAGAAGGTCACACAAATTATCTGTCACTAGTCTCTTCAACAAATGGTGCTGTGAAGAACTAGATATCCTTGCACAAAAGAAAAAAAGGCACCCTTACCTTACACCATATACAAAAATTAATTCAAAATGAATTAAAATCCTAAATGTAGAACCTAAAATTATAAGACTCCTAAAAGAAAACATAGGAGAAAGCTTCATGAAATTGGACTTGGCAGTGATTTCGTGCATAAGACATCAAAATCACAGGCAACAAAAGCAAAAATAGACTAATGGGACTACATCAAACTTCAGAACTCTGTGTGACAGCCCCACATCAGGTTCCCTGCTCCACGGGAGGCCTGCTTCTCTCTCTCCTACTCCCCCTGCTTGTGTTCCCTCTCTCACTGTGTCTCTATCTATCAAATAAATAAATAAATAAAATCTTGAAAAAAAAAAAAAACCTCTGTGTGACAAAGGAATGAAAATGCCACATACAGAATGGGAGAAAATACTTGTAAGTCATATATCAGTTAAGGGATTGGTGTCCAGAATATGTAAAGAATTCCCACAACTCAACGACAACAACAAAAATCCTGTATTAAAAAATGTGTGAATAGGACTTGAATAGACATTTCTCCAAAGGCTCAGCCTCACTAGTCATCCATCAGGAGCTGCAAATCAAAATAATGAGATGTCACCTTGCATTCATCAAAGAACAGTGTATTGGTGAGGATATGGAGACATTGGTACCCTTGTGCACTGTTGAGGAGAATGTAAAATGATACAGCTGCTGAGAAAAATAGCATGGAAAGTTCCTCAGAAATTTAAAAATAGAATTACCATGTGATCCAGCAATCTCACTCCTGGAGATATATATCCAAAAGAATTGAAAACAGGATCTGGAAGAGGTATCTGCTCACCCATATTCATTGCACCATTATTCATAATAGCCAAAAGATAGATACAATCCTAGTGTCCATTGATGGATGAATGGATAAAGAGAATATCACACACACACACACACACACACACACACACACACACAGCCTTAAGAAAGAAGGAAATCCTGTCACGTGCTACAACATGGGTGAAACTTGAGGACATTGTGGTAAATAAACCATTCAAAAAGACATGGTTCCACTTACATAAGGTATACTAAAGTAGTTAAACAGAAAATGAAAGTAGGTAGGATAGGTGGTTGGTAGGAGCTGCGGGGGAGAATGAAGGGTTTAGTAGGTATAGCATTTCAGTTTTGCAAGATGAAAAAGTTCTAGAGGCCTCTTGTACAATGAGATACATACAGTTAATACTACTGTACACTTAAAAATAGTTATAGTTAAGATAGAAAATACTGTATTTTTTCTTAAGTAATCTCTACACCCAACACGGGGCTCGAACTCACAACCCCAAGATCAAGAGTCACATGTTCTACCAATTCTACCAACTGAGCCAGTCAGGCACCCCCGATTTTTGTGGTTTTTTTACCACCATTTTATGCATCATTTTCTATGAATTTTTTAAAAATATGATTGCATATTAAGTATTTTATTAAAGAGTATTAATTACCTTGAATTCACTCAGCTAAATTATTCTGTAGATTTCCTTATTGGAGACATTAAGTTATTATATTAATAGGTTTCCTAATACTAAATATTTACATTGGGGACATAAATCCTACTTGTTTAGATTATTCAAATAATTATTTTAATACCTGTTGAAATCAATTTGCTTTCATATCTGAGAATTTTGTATTTGTATTCTTAAGCAAGATTGATCCAAGTTTTCTTCCCTAAGGGTATGTATGTGTGTGTAGAATTAGATATATAGTCATCAGATTTTCTTTATCCAGAGGAAAAGCTTTCAGTTTTTCACCATTTTGCTGTTCTTGCTGAACTTTTCATATATGGCCTTTATTATGTTGAGGTAATTTCTGTTCCTAGCTTTTTGAGTGATTTTATCATTAAAGGGTGTTGAATTTTGTCCAGTGCTTTAGTGTGCATTAGTTGAGATGATCACTTTTTGTCCTTCATTCTGTTAATGTGGTATATTATAAAAGTTTTTTAATATGAAAACATTTCCTTTAAGATGCATGATATGCAATACATATATCACATAAAATCTTAGGACTCTGAATCTTATTTTCTGATCACTGTGTAAGAGGTGAACAATTATTTGATTTGCCTTTTTTATGGCGTACAATACTCAGTTGAATTCAAAGCAAAAGATTTATTAAAGAAACAAATAATGAAAACAGAAGTATGTGTGCGTAGGTATAAAAATGAGAAATCAGTACTTTTCATTGGTCACCTTTTCTTTTATAACCTTGAAAATTGGAATTTTATGTGTTGAAACTCCAAAATAAAACAATTAGAATTTTCTCATTTTTATGACATATTTGAATATTAGGTGTATTTTATTGTTATTGGGGCTAAGAATGTGAATTGTCATTTTCATACTTCAAATATAGAATACTGGCAATTTGATATTGTGTGCCACGCATGTTAGAAATACCTTAAAAGTACTTGGTAAAATATCTAACAGTGTGATTCTGGTTTAACAGTATTAAAGTATTTTCTCTTGTTTTAACAAATGATACTTGAACTAATATTTCTCTTTTCTTTTTAGTGATTGCTTTCTACAACATTTATTCAAAATTGAATGAAGTATTGTGCTGAATAGTAGTAATTCCTGTGACTTTAAAAAAATTTTTTAACTGGGGGCACCTGGGTGGCTTAATTGGCTAAGCATCTGACTCTTGGTTTCAGCCTAGTTCATGATCTCACGGGCTGTGGGATCCAGCCGGAGTCAGCTCCTCACTCAGAAGGGGGTCTGCTTGAAAGATTCCCTGCCTCTGCTCTTCCCCCACTCGTACTTTCTCTCTCAATAGATAAATACATCTTTAAAAAAAACCTTTTAACTGTATTTATACTTTAGGCAGTTCTCTCTTCTAATTGGTGAATTATACTCTGGTGATCATTCTCGTCTAGCTTGCTTTGTTCATCATTTTGTTATGGTCACACAATTGCCTTCTATATATGTAAGGAAGATGGTAATAATATTTATAATAATAACTAAATTCACTGAGGGCTTATTATATATCAGGGACTGTCCCGACACTACTTTTTGTAAACTTTTTAATTCTTATAATAATACTGCAATAAAATGAAGTACTGTTATCATTACCATTTTACAGATGGAAGGAGGCTCAGAATGATTAAACAACTTGCCCAAGCTCACACAACTAGTAGGAAGCAGAGGATGATGACTGATTACTTGTACATGAGAACATGAAACATAATTTGAGTCATCTATACATTTCTATTTAGTTACTTAATTCCATTGTTTAATAATTAGATGTGTTAGAAGATTTCATTTAAATACATTTTTAATAATTTTTTAATGTTATATCCTATCCATTACAGTTTTTAATAATTAATGAATACATCCCCTTTTTTGGGTCACAGGATGGACAATCTGAAATTTTGTACACTTTTTGGAATTCAGTTACTCAAGCACTTTCTTCTCAATTTCGCATGGCAACAGATTGTAAGTATGCTATTTATTTTGCAGTTTCATTTCAAAGTTTTCCATGTGCTTTAAGATGTAATGTCAAGAAGTTTTGCTTTTTTGCTTTATAATACACATCTTTTTAAAACTCTTTGGCTAATTGTCATTTCTTATACTGGCCATATATTTAGTTTAATAAACAATAAGTTAATTTTTTATGTTTTTTATAATTAGTATGTGGAATAAAATTCTCCAGAAGAATGAGTTAATTCTCCATAATTCAAACATAGAGGAACTCTGAAGTTTTCCTATGTAAAGGGTGTAAAGCAGTTGATGTTGAAGAATTTAGTTGATGCTTATAGAATTATTTTCTAACTAAAAGATACTAAAATACAAGACTTAATAGTTATTTCCTTATTATTAAAAATGAGGATTTGATGAATGAACAGATGAAATACCTTCATCATGGGCACCTGGGTGGCTCAGTTGATTAAGGGTCTGCCTTCGGCTCAGGTCTGGGATGGAGCCCTGCTTCAGGCTCCCTGCTGAGCAGGGAGTCCGCTTCTCCCTCTCCCTCCTTCTCCATCCTCCCACTGCTTGTGTTCTCTCTCTCACTCTTTGTCTTTCTCAAATAAATAAATAAAATCTTAAAGAAAATACCTGTATCATGAATTAAAAGTTGTTTATTCAAACAGGATCTCCAGAATTTGTTAAATTTTTTTTTTTTGTCATGAAATAATGGCACTGCCTGCCTAATCAATGAATGTAAAAAGAGTTTTAGGAGTTTGTATGTAAATTCTTATTTACAAATGTTACTGAAAGTATGTAGTAGATGTAAACATTATTTAGTCACTGGCAGTCCAGAGTTGAATAAAACACACTACCTGCCTCCCTACTATTTTTTTTTCTTTTTGAGAGAGAGAGAGGGAGGGAGGGAGGAGTGGGGAGGTACAGAGGGAGAGGAGAGAGAATCTTAACGAGGCTCCACACCCAGCATGGAGCCCCACGAGGGGCTCAATCTCATAGGCTCTATGCCCAGTGAGAGCCTGAATCAGAGTTTGATCTCACAACCCTGATATCATGACCTGAGCTGAAATCAAGAGTCAGATGCTTAACTGACTGAGCCACCCAGGCACCCCTGCCACCCTACTACTGTTTCTAAGGAAATATGCAGCAAGGCAGTGACCACAGAGGACACCTTCATTCATGTGTGGCCAAACAGAGCTTAAGCAGAGGGTGTATTTAGAATTGATTCACTCCATTTACTTCTGCAAATTACACTACTCCAAGAATACTGTGCATCTACCTGCATTATGTATCTATTTTGGTCAGCTTTTTTGAGATATAATTTATATACAGTAAAATTTACCAATTATAAGCAGAAAATTCTATGAGTTTTGACAGTCATTTTTTATCCTTTTCCCCACCACCACAATTAAGATAGAGAATATTTCCATCACCCCCCAAATTTCCCACATGTACTTTTGTAATCACCTACTCCCAACTCTTAGCTTCTGGCAAGTAATCATCAGCTGTCTGTCAGTGTAAGTTAGCTTTTCCTAGATTTTTGTAAAACTCGTATCACACAGGCTGTGTTCTTTTGTATCAGCATAATTATTGTAAGATTCATCATGTTGTTGCATATATCAAAGTTCCCTTTTTATTGCTGATTAGTATTCCATTATATAGAATATACAGCAGTTTGTTTATCCATTCCCCAGATGGGAGACAACTGGGATATTACAGCTTTGGGTTATTACAAGTAAAGCTACTGCAGTTGTTCGCATAGAAGTCTTTTGTAGACGTATGTTCATTCTCGGGTAAATATATGAGTAGAATTGCCTGATCATTTGATGAGTACATATTTAACTTTGTAAATAACTGCTAAACTATTTTCCAAGATGATGTACCATTTTGCATTCCCATTAGCAATATTTCATAACTCCAGTTGCTCTACATCCTTATTGATCCATGATATTGTCAGTGGTTTTTAATTTTAGCCATTCTTATGAGTGTGTAGTGGATTTTCATTGTGGTTTTAACTTCCACTAGCTTAAAGACTAATGATAACCCATGTTTTCACATGCTCATTAGGCATCTGCATATCTTCTTTGGTCACGTGTTTGTCAAAATTAATTGGCTTTTTATTTTTATTTTTTAGTTTATTGCTTGTTCTCTTATTATTGAGTCTTAAGAGATCTTTATATATTCTAGATCCACAGTCCTTTCTTAGGTGTGTGTTTTGCATATTTCTTTTGTCTGTAGTTTGCCTTCTCATTTCCTTAACAGTGCCTTCCAAATGATAAAAGTTTATTTTGAGAGAGTCAGACTTACAATTTTTCTTTTATAATTTCCTTTTTCTTTTTGACCTAAGAAATCTTTGTCTAACACAAGGCCACAGGTATCTCCCCCTATATTTTATTCCAGAAGTTTTACTAAGTTCATTTGAAGTTAATCTGTGTATATGGTGTGAGATATAAAGGCCACGGTTATTTCTTTGAATATAGATCTAAAAGATTATACTGCACCTTTGACTGCCCTGGCACTCTTGTAGAAAATCATGTGGGTATATCTGTGTAAGACTATTTCTGGAGTTCTTTTTTTCTGTTTTTGTTTTTTGTTTTTTGTTTTTTTTTGTTGTTGTTTTTTGTGGTTTTTTTTGCATCTGTATGTTTGTAATCACCAAAGTGTAAATTCTTCTATGTTATTTCATTTAGCAAAATAATTTTGGTTATTCTAGGCTCTTTGCATTTCCATATATATTTCAGAATCAGGTTGTTGTTCCTATAAAAATGTTCCCTTAGACTTGGATTACATGATGAATCTACAGATCATTTTGTGATAAATTCACATCTTAACAGTATTGAGTCTTCTGATCCATGAGTGTAATATCCCATTGATCTAGGTCTTTTAAAATTTTCTCATATCAATTTGTGCTCTTATAGTTTTTAGTGTGCAGGTCTAGCAAATCTTTTCTTAAATTTATTACTATTTCATATATTTTGATGCTATTGTAAATGGTATTTTTAAAATTTTAGTTTACCAGGTGTTCATTGCTAGAATATAGAAATACAGTTGATTTTTATTTACTGACCATGAATCTTTGACTTTGCTACCCATACTTATTAGTCTAGTAGTTTTTGGAGATTTTTTAGCATTTTCTATATTGATGATCATATAGTTTGTAAATAAAGGCAGTTTCACTTCTTTTCCATTCTGGTTTCCTTTCTTTCTTCCTTCCTTCCTTCCTTCCTTCCTTCCTTCCTTCCTTTCTTTCTTCCTTTCTTCCTTTCTTCCTTTCTTCCTTTCTTCCTTTCTTCCTTTTCTTTTTTTGTTACCACCTCCAGTAGTGTAGAATTGAAGTGGTCTTCTGCCTTGTTTCTAATCTTAGGAAACATTCAGTCCACCTTTAATATCTTAACGGCAGGTTTTTTAGTGATGCCATTAATTAGGTTGAGGAAGTTCCCTTCCATTTCTAGTTTTTTGAGAGGTTTTTTTTATACTATTGTTAACTTTTTATAGTGCTTTTCTGCATCCATTTAGACAATCAAATGGATATAGTTACTTTAGTATGCTAGTACCTTGTGTTCTCAGATAAGCCCCGCATGGTCATGATATATTATCCTCTTTATATGTGTGTTTGCAAAATATTGTTTAGTTTTCTTAATGTCTTTATCCAGTGTGGTTCAGGGTAATGCTAACCTCAGAGAATAAGTGGAGAAGTATTCCATCCTGTTCAATTTTCTCAAGCAGTTTATGTAAAATTGACATTATTCCTCTTTAAATTTTGGTAGAATTCACCAAGGAAGTCATCTGGGCCTGGAATTTTCTTGGTGGGAAGATTTTAACTATAAATTCAACTTTTTTCTTAGATAAAGCATTATTCCATTTATTTCTTCTTGGGTAAGCTTTGATAGTTTGTCTTCCAAAGAATTTTTCCAGTTCATTGAATTTTTTTAATTTATTGGCATAAATTTGCTTATAATGCTTCCTTATTACCCTTTGAATGTATGTGGAATACGATGTGATGTTCTTTATTGCTGATATCATTAGTTTCTTCTTTTTTTCCTAATAATTACAACTAGAGGTTTATTAATTTTATTTATCTTCTTAGAAACCAACATTTGGTTTCATTGATTTTTCTTTTTTATTTTCAATTTTCACTGTTTTCTGTTCTTGTGTTTATTGTTTATTTGCTTTGCTTTGGGTTTGATATGCTCATTTTCTTGTTTAACAAGGTTAAGTTTAGATTATTGGTTTAACTCTTCCTTTTCTAATTTGTTTATCCTGCAAATTTATCAGCAGTATTTTACCTGCATGCCACCTTATTATTTTGCCAAACATATAGAAAAGTTAAAAGAATAGCAGAATAGCATCTATATATCTATACCTTCGACTCAGTATTTGTTAACAGTTTTCTCACTAAATGAGCATTTTGAGATTGATGTGTTCATTTGAAATTTAAAATTCATGAATTATTTTTAATTATTCAAATATTCAGATGTAATATTATGTAAATACAGACTTTCAGTAGTTTCTCACACCATGTATGAAAGTAATGGGTTTTCATGAAAACAATAATCACCACGAAGTTTTCTTTAATATTTAACGTCTCACATAATAAGCAATTACATTTAATGGAATACATTTACTAATATACCAGAAAGAAAATACAAAGATGTAAATTTACCCACAAAATATATGAGCATAATTACAAAATTGATTAAAACCTCAGTTTTAGATAGAATAAAAGAAAACTAATGTTAAAAGCTCATTTTTGGCTGTTGCAGGATATCTGTTTTTTAAGCATTTATTAAAAATGTACTTAGGGCACCTGGGTGGCTCAGTTAAGTGTCTGTCCAACTCTTGATTTCAGCTCAGGTCATGATCTCAGGGCCATGAGATTGAGCCCTGTGTTGCGGGGGGAGGGGGCATCTATGCTCAGCAGGGAGTCTGCTTGAGCTTCTTTCTGTCCCTTTGCTCTTCTTCCCGCTCATGCATGCACACGCACATCCTCTCTCTCTCTCTCTCTTTAATAA